AATTGTGCGAATCCTTTCGCGTCGAGGCAATTACCTTCGTCTTCTTCGTTTCGAGCTGCACATACCTGTCGCTGCGTGCGTCATCAACGTCTCTTATGTCATCGCTTCTGTAAGTCTTTTAGTCCTCTGTATGAATACATACACAAAAATACCATTTTATTGCTAAGAAAAGCGATTACTCAATTCACTTTCTTTTAAGTGACAGGGGTAATAGTTATCTTTATATAAGAATATTTTTCTCTGAATAATAATCTTAAAATATTTATACTTTTACGAATTTTAGGAAAATTCATTATTATGTACTCAAAACAAGAATTTATTTTTTTTTTAAGAATATTGGAAAATTGATAAGGAACAACTTTATATAATGAACAAATCGAATTTTAATTTAATAATCTTGATTGAAATATAAAACTTTGTTAGTAAAGTACTAAACTTATGATTGATTTATGGATATATGAACTTTTGAAATATTTGAAACAAGTATAATGATCACTTGTATAGAGTATGTATTTTTTATGTGCAGTCTAAAAGCCAGGTCGAAGTAATAATACCTGGACGGTAATGGATACGAAATGAAAATAAATGAATCCTCTATGAAATTACGATTCGCTCAAAGGTACATAAATATTTTCCTTTCACACAAATCGTATCTTTATTCCTATATTCCTAGGAATATATAATTGGCACGTCCTTATATCGAATTACTTGTTTCTCATACGATTCTTTCGTCGGATTCTTCAACGGAAAGTCACGTCTTCCGGACGTGTGCGATTAACGCGTGTGGCATCTCTGATTTCTTAAGAGTTTCTCACGTCCTGGCGAGAGGTGTCCTGTGGAGTGAATCGCTACCTTAAAGGCAGGGGTTGGCTGGCGAACTGGCGAACTGGCGAACTGGCGAATGGGTTCCGCAGGGATCACGGCTGACGGATTTTCAAGCGGAACTCCTCGCGGGCAGAATGCAGAACGCGCGAGGTCCCCGAACCGGCCGGCCCTATTGATTTTAGAGAACCTTCTGGCACAAGAGAGAGAGAGAGAGAGAGACCGTCGGTAATTCCGAGCTGCCCTCCGTTCCCCTCGTCGAGTTTTCGAGAAGGGTCACCCCGTAATTTGAATATACGGCACCCTTCTGCGCGTTCGCAGCCCCTCCCGGCCAATTGCACGTTCGGCATATTTCGTTTACCGTGCATAGCGCGTTCGTTCTCCTCGCGTTTCGAATACGCGGACGAGATATTTCGTCGTGGTATCATTATCGCGGTTTTCACGTGCCAAATCATTTTTCCGGCAAGAGCGGAAAGCGTTCAAATTCAAGAATTTATCTTATCGAGAGAGAAACATATATACATATTCTATTATCTTATTTCTCATTAAACTCGACTGTTTGTTTACAACGAGTATTATGTACATTCGTGTAGGCTTTTATTATACTGTCGATATCGTCGTAGCAATAATCTCAAATAATCTCACAAGCCATAACCGTAAAGTTTAGACGAAGGCGCAATTGTTGATTCACGGACTCTACGTTTCTACGTTTTTATGCGTAGCAATTACTCGCGAGCTCGGAAACGGAAACGGTCGATCGCGTTTGAGGTATATCGGGACGTGAGTGTGAAACCCCGCTCTCTGTAGACTCCTGTAGACGTCGATTGCAAAATTAACCAGTTCCGCGACCGGCGACGCTTAGCCGCCTTTGATCGTCGAACGTAATATTTTCGCTGTACCGCGCGCGCGTCAGCGACTTCCTTTGTGCACGGAAACGGAGTTTCTCGATAGTTGGCCGGTTTAACTCGCTTAGAACTTAATTCGTCCAACTTTCGGTGAACGCGTTCGCCTCGCCGTGACTACAGACTCTACAATTGAATCTGGCCACGAGCGATTTTGTCAAAATTCTACGAGAGAGAAAGGTATATTAATAGACTTTCTCTCTGGGTATATCTTATTTATTATTTTATTCCAACTCGTTTCTACCAAGTATTATATTTCAAAAGTTCAATGACCTAACCGCAAATCTATCAAAAGTTTCAAATTTAGTCAAAATATATATTCCGAATCTCTCTCTCTTTCGTAGGAAGTTTAATATTATACTTCAGTCAACATTATTAAATTGAAATAAATTCGATTTGCTTATTATATATAATCGCATCTTCGATCAGTTATATCATATTTCTTCTAAAAGAAAATAAATTCTTGTTTTGACTACATATTAATGAGTCTTTCTAAAATTTTTAATAAGTATGATTGTTATCAAGAAAATATTCTTTGGTAAAGATAAACCGTTACTTAAAAGAAAGAAAGTAAATTCAGCGATCAATTTACTTTTCTTATCGATAGAATATTTTTCTATGTGTATTTTGTTTTTGTCTCACTTAATAATCTTAATTAAAATTATTAAGTGAGACGATAAAAGTTATAAAGTGAAATTGTATATTTACATACAAGAAAGAAGTATATACGTGCACCTTTCTCTTACGTTACAGGATTTTGACAAAATCACTCGTAGTCAGACTGGTACAGCAGCAAATCGAATTTATTTTTTATTTAATAGTCTTGATAAAAGTATTAAACTTACTATTGGATTCAGAATATATTTTGAATAAATTTGAAACTTTCGATGAATTATAACAGAATTTAGTTCCCCACGAGATGAAAAATTTTTTAGTAAGTGTGTTGGAATGAGTAAAAGCCAGAGCAGATACAAACCTTACATTCTCTACTGTGATTGGCTGATTCTTTTACTGCCTTACATTCTTGTATGTATCATGGGCTTAAGATAGTACAAGTTGAAATAGGGGATAACATGTAATAATTCTGTCTCATTTTTGTTTTGGCAACTATTTTGACCACTCGTAGCCAGACTTTGTGATAGAATCTTTAGCGACGACGAAGCACGAAAGTAACTACTTGTCTATGCCAACGCATAACGGGAGGATTTTCGTGGCGAAACGATTTTTGTAGAGCGCGCGCCGCGCCGGCGTGAATTCTCGACGCAGGGAAATTCGCGTGCGGTTCGTGAATTTTCGCGGGGTCGGCCCACGATAATCTGGGCTTATCGATCGGCGCTCAGTTGCCAACTTGGCAGTGGCGAACTCCCGGAATTACGAGTGAAATGCTCTACATAGCGACGCGGTTGGCAAATCAGATCCGCTTTCATACCTTTGCAAGGGAGGATACATTGAATTCCGACTCACCTTCCGGTGGGCCAGACTTTCGCAATTCGACGACGAGAATGTCCATGTCAAACGCGGTTAGTTTAACGCAGCGGGAATCGCATCCTTCGGCATATTCTGGATCTCTGATCGAGGGATAATGATTTTTAAAAAAACTAATATATCCATGCACACTATGTAGTGAACGAAATAATGTCCGCACGTCGGCCTTCCCTTCCATTTCGTTGATTGAAGCGTTTCGAAAGGGTACAAAACTTGCACGTCAAAGGGTTAAGGGAAAGGGGTACCGCGGGAAAGGGGCTGGACTTTTTTTTCCCCATGCCGAGCACGTTGTTCGAGTTTCGGGTTAAATCCCGGACAGAGAGTGGTTTTCATGCCACTACCCTGACGGTCGTCAAGCTCGTCGCGTGTATAGTTGTATTGTAACCTACGCGCTTTCTAGCAGTCGGCGTTAGTTCCCTTCTCGCTCGCTCGCTCGCTCGTTCCCTCCTTCAGATTTGTACTTAAAAACTCGTGGGGTCAGTGGTGCTCACCCTGCTAGACTTGTTAGATTGACGCAACCAATTAGGAACGTGGTAGTAGAATGGAACCGGTAATCTGCTGTAACTTTGACTCTGCGGTCGTACTGTAGAATCGTACAAGCAAATAAAGTGCTACTGCCTAGGATTTAGAGACTGCACGACTGACCGAACGATTTGACGAGTATCGATTCTTTGAATAAGTTACGCTTGCAAATTTGAATTATTGGAAGAAACATTTTTATCCATCAGAGAGATAGCAATGAATTCGCAAACTTGTTTATAATTCACAGCTTAAGACTATATTATATTCAATAGCGTCGATCGATATATAATACTCATCGAGTATTTTGATTCAGACAAGTTATAGCATTAGACTATCTATATATAACACGGCAGACTTAGAAAGACACGCGATATATTTCCGAGACATCTTTTGCAATTTCTCTCGATTAAATGATGCATTTTGTAGAAAAGAGAGAGAGAAAAATGACAGGGGTCAATTATTAAAAACAATTAGAAATGCCAGTCTGCCTTTGTTTACGCGAGCAAAGATAATAAAGTTTAATACAGATTGTTTTGCATACGGTGCGACACAATTGAATTATACATATATATATCTAAATATAAATGGTTATCGTTCGGTTCTCATACACACAGAAAAATACATACAGCACGCAAGTAATAATTACTTGTATCAAATATTTCAAAAGTTTATATATTTGCACATTTATCATACGTTTATTACAAGCATCAAATTTATTTAAAATATATTCTGAATCCTCGCTAATTTATTACAAGTTAAAGATTATCAAGTTAAAATAAATTCAATTTCTTATTAAAAAGTTGTTTCATCGACCAATTTTATGATATTTTTCAAAAGGAAATAATTTCTTGTTTCGAATACATGTAATAATTTTGTTAAAACTTGAAATAAATACATTTTAAGATAATTATCGAGAAAATATTTTTTATCAGAGATAACCGTTATTTAAAAAAAAAAAGGGAAATTAAATGGAGTAATGACATTTATCAGTAAGAGAAAAAAATTTGTATGTGTGTAGCGAGGCGATACGTTTCGACGTCGGCGTTGTTAAGCTCCAGGTCCGGTGGTTCGGTGAGCGCGATTTGAGAATCGCTGCGTTGGTCTGCGTATTCGGGACGCGGGCGAGTGGCGACGCGGCTGCAGCAACGCCAGCAACTACGATGCGCAGCAGCGCCGACGGCCGAGCGCGGAGGATCACGTGACGGTGCGTCGCGGTGGGCGCCGTCGACGCAGGATTGGCCGATTTCGCGATACGTAACCCCCATTCGGCGTCACTCGAACAAAGAGACGAGGCTACCCCGTTCGTGCTCGTGAGCGCTGCCATTAGAAAGTCGTCGGCAGTCGATGAACGCGGAACCTCCGCGAGTTTGGACAGAGAGAGCGAGAGGGAGAAAGATAAAGAGAGCTGGTCCATCGGTTCGGACGTCGCGATCAAGTTTTATCAGCCTGAGCCAATCTGCCGGGACTCGACGACGGAAAGAGAAAGAGAGAGAGAGAGAGGGAGTGAGAGTGGCAGTGGAAGGTTCGGAGGAGAGACAACCCCCCGGCTTTAGACATCAGCTCCAGCAGCTCCGACCCACCGACGGACGCGACGGTCCCGGATCGGCCGAATCGTCGGAATCGATCCGGTGAAACGAAGCGTGAAAAGGAAAACGCGCCTTTCATTCGTACGAGACTCGCTGCTAAGGAACTCGGCGCGAGGACGAGTCGACGACGAGGCGAATTGGCAGGCAACGAGGCGAGCGTTAAGAAACGACGCGTGGACGCTCGCCCGACTAATCGATCCCCCACGTACATCTGTTACATCCGTTACCGTGCGCCGGATTGCATCCTCATCGGTGAGGATCTTCGAGGGACGCTCCGGCGGTTAGCCCATCGCGCTGGAGGGTCGAGGACGTACGACGAGCGCTGTAGAGTGCTACGCAGCGACGTGGCGACGACGCCATTTTGTGGTGACTGGTACTGTGTGCTTCTTTCGGCATCAACGCCGTCGAGCTTACTCATCGCCACGCCGTGACCCGTGACCCGTGACACGCGCGTATCTCTGATACTCGTCGTCTTCGACACCGGTGTAAAACGGCGTGCTGCGCTTTTATCCTCCGGAACTGTGGATCGCGAGAGACAGCGAGAGAGAGAGAGAGAGAGAGAGAGAGAGGTAAACAGTGCCCGTGTATTTGAGCAAGATTGACGACGAGTGCGTCATCGACGTGACTTTCATCCGCGCGCACCGCGTCAATCCCACCGCGATACAAAAGAGATTGAGAGAGAGAGAGAGAGAGAGAGAGAGAGAGAATTTTCTGTTGGATTATCGTCATCGACGCCTTCGCCCTGGGTCACCACCGACCATGAGACTGGAAATCGTGTCGGCGGCGGATTTTCTGGTGCACCTGCTGCGCCTGCAGGCGGGTCAGCTGTCGGAACGGCAACTGGAGATGTTCAAATCATCGTTGACGGAGGTGTTGCGCCACCGTTATCGGGATCACTGGTTCCCAGATCGGCCAAATCGCGGCTCCGGCTATCGTTGCATACGCATCAACGGTAAAATGGATCCGGTAATCGCGCAGGCTGGGGCGAACGTCGGCCTCTTGCCGACGGTACTGCACAGCCTGTTCCCCAGCGAGCTTACAATGTGGATCGACCCGTCGGAAGTGTCGTATAGAATCGGCGAAAATGGTTCCATCTGCGTGCTGTACGAGCGTACCGAGGCCGAGAACGTGGAAGAGATCTCCCAGCAGCAGCAGCATCAGCAACAGCATCAGCAACATCATCAGCAGCAGCAGCAACAACAACATCAGCACCATCATTCGCAGCAACACCCACAAGCGCCAACTATTATGCCGTCGCCATCTCAGCAACAACAACAGCAACAATTCGAAACCTGCAAAGACTCTCTGTTGCTGGAGCACACGCAATTCAGCGAGCAGATCGCCGCGTACGTCTCCAGCTGAATCGCCGGGCTCGCCGTCGCGCTCGTGTCTACGCTTCTGAAATGATCTACTATATAAGCGCACGTGCATCTCGTGATATGTGATATCCCGCGTGATGATTGTGTCGCGTCGGACCGGGTACGTCCGCGCGCTCCTCAACCTTTTGTGAACTCCAAACGTGCGTGCGTCCCTTCCTTTGCGTTTTATCTTTTCTCTCTCTCTCTCTCTCTCTCTTTCTCGTCCTTTTCCTTTCTCGGTGCACCGAGAAATATCCAGCCAAGATTCGAGTCGGTCCTCGTTGTCTTCTTTCTTCCTTCTCTTTCTCTCTCTCTCTCTCTTTCTCCTTTCTGTCTCTCGCTCTCTCTCTCTCAAAAGAAGAGAAAAAAAAGTGAAAATGGAGCACCGTCGTCGATAATCTGCATATCGTCGGGCCTCGTCTCAGCAGCTTGGAGCGACTTCCTGCTACACACGGCACAAGGGGGAGAGTCCATCCTTCGGGAGACGCGAGCTCGTCCACGCGCGTCGGTCGGCTCGACTCTAGTCTAGTCTCGCGTTTCCCGATCCTCTTCTCGCGCGTACGAAGAATCTCGAGAGTGAATGAAAACAAGGCATCTTTGAGAAGAGAAACGTGTCCCCCAAGCACCTAGTCTGTGCGCTATTTAAACTAACGCGCTCTCTCTCTCTCTCTCGATCGGATATCGGAAAGACAAGACGAGAAGAAAACAACATGCGTGTCGAGCAATGGAAGAGTGAAAAAGCGAATCGACCAGTCGATTCAACGGCTGCTCCCTTGAACCATCATCTCTCATCTTCATCGATCGCCCTTCCTATCGGCGAGTCTTTTTCGCTGGAGAAGGATTTCGCGGCCGTCGCAGCGAGAAAGAAGTGAGCGGAGGGTGAGCTCTCTCAGCAGCCGACTAATTGATCTCAGCACCTCCTCTACCCGCGTAACCTCCGAGTGTTCTCTCATCACGACAGCAGCCACGCAGCAGAGGGAGGAACAACGAAGACCAGCCAGTCTCATCGCCCTTCCTACATTTTTTCGAGGGAGTAAAGAACCCGTACTCATACATTTGTACACAAAACATATATATGTATATGTATATTCTCTGTCTCTCGCATCCTCCCGAATGACCAGCGTCTTTCTTCCACGCACTTTTTCTCACCGTCGCGGATCTCGAATTAAGGTTCGTACACACCGACGAGTATGCAGATCGCCGCGGCTGTTTATAAACAGTTTACCTTTCGATGTGTAAAAAGCCAATTTTTTTAAATTAAATCCTTTGTGATAAAGTCCCATTGATTGTTTAAAAGAAAGTTAAGTGATTTACGTTGAAAGTTATTTACGATTGGATACAATAATTCTTGTAACCTATATGTACGAACTTATTTCTATATTTTCCATTCTCGCATCGGTTTGTACAATCATAAAGTTGAGAACCACAAAGTAATGTGATGAGAGTCAATCGTTCTCCATTCTCGTCGTTGAGAATTTTGTCGAACCTCGCACTGTCAATGCAGATTACCACCGAGCCACATACACACAAAATCTCGAATACATTCATACAAAACTAAATACGCACCGATGAATCTTGAGCAAACGCAATCGCGATGGATCTCAACGTAAATCATCGCTATCGTGAGCTGTTAAGATCGTCGGTGCCCAAATTCATCGAATTTGCTCTTCATTAACGTAATTTTTTCCACGAGCATCTGTAAGAATACGTTAAACTAACAAGGCGCGATACTTTCTCACGTATATTGTATGAGTTTGTCGAATAATTTCGATTTTCTGGAAAAATAGAACATGGAAATGTCGCAAAACGCAGCATCACGATAACGAGGTTTCAAATTCGATGTAAAGTTGTGATTTCTATTTTTCGAGAACGATTCTCAATAGTGTGAATCTTGAGTGTTTCAACTATTCGACAGCGATTCTCAATAGAAATCTTAAGCGATAGTCTGAATGTGCATACACACGTATAAAATACTCGCAAATACACACGTACAAATTTTACGAAAGGGCGTGAGTTATATGTACATATATATATATATATATATTATATATATATATAAGAACCAAGTCACCTCCGGGCGTGTACATAACCGACGAATTGTATATTATATCCTTCGCGTGAGAGGAGATGGAAGAAAGCAGGAGAAAACATGACGGTGTATAAAATTGCTGTGATTTTATCCACGGGAAGGCAGGCACCCGGGCGTGTTTTTACTATGGAGAATCGGTCTCGGATAGTGAGTCGTATACGTGCACGGTGTGTGCGATTGCGAATGTTTCTTCGCCCATGTTTCGGCATCGCAGCAGGAATGAGTCTGTATATATGTGTGAGAAAGAGAGAGAGAGAGAGAGAGAGAGAATGATTGAACGCGTATATACGGCGCTCACCCGATACGTAACGCTCGCCCGCTCTGGCAATAATAATCGAGTTCGCTCGATTAATCACGCGTCTGCTTCGTGCTCGCGGCATCGAGATCTGTTCAATTACCGTTACTTGACGAACCGATACGCTCGCGTTAATAATGAGAACGAGATCCGCGCGTTGTCGACAGATTATTACGAGTGCGCGATTTCAATTTTTCCCCATGAAATTCAAATTGGACTTAACACGAATATTTTTATCGGTTTTTGCCGGGTGTGTAGGAATGAGAAGAGTTTGTGCGTGAAAGAGTGTATGCGTATGCATGAGTGTGGTGTGCGATGTAACGCATGAAAGATAGAATGGCTAATGAAGAACGGGGGAGGGATGAGAGAGAATACCTATCGTATGTGTTCGGCGTCGAATGAGAAAAGGCTCTGTTGTACGTAGCAATTATAGAAACCATGTCTGTGATTATACTAAGAATAGAGCGACAATATAAACAATTTCCGTATGTAACGACCTAAACACGAGCGGCGTGTGCGCTTACTATACATATATACCGGTATGTAAATGATACATATATATGTATTACATATACACGTGCGAGAATTTTATCCGTAAATATTGCGCGCTTTCCGCGTTTTTAATTGGGTCGTCACGTTTTTGTTATTCCGACTTTTTTTTTTTTTTTTTTTTATTTTGAAAGTAAGTAGCATCCCATCGTAAGAAATCGATTAATTTCGCGAGAACATTATCACATCGGAAGCAAATTGTGCAAATTCGCTTTAAGCGGCGGAGCTTAAGACGACTCGTTTAAAATCGCTGAATGCGCTCGCAAACAGTGGAAGGACGAAATCAACCTCACCTCGCTCGTAATAAACTCTTCGGTTCTCTTCGACTTTGACGTCATACACCCAAATAATCGGATCATAATATGTACGCGCCAATACTATGTGCATTCATTAACACCACCGTAGCAAATAGATAAAAAAAAAAAAATTCTTTTGTTCACAAACTGTTACGTATGACGTCAGAACAAGGGACTCTGTAGAGGACAAAAGTGAAATAGAGATAATCATTTTCTTCATTTTTGTTGACATATCGGGGAAATACCCTGCGATCGTCCATATCGGCGGCTGTAAAACACTAGCGATCTCGAATATATAATCTGTCGAAAGTAGTGCGGGACGAGGCTGGAGAGAAAGTGTGAGAGCCAAGCGGTGAGATCTCCGCTGTGTCGTCCTTGGACGATTATTTTACTGCTGACTGCTAACAAGACACGACGTTCCTTTCCCTTTGTTTTTGGTTTCCACTGAGAAACGTGGGTTCGAGAAGGGCACGCTCGTCTGCGAGAATTATCCTGTACATCTCTTCGTTATTCATCCGTTCCCACAAACACACATAAAAAACTATAAATACCGACAAATGCTAAGGGAGAGCGACAGACAACAAAAGAGAGAATAAAAAATGCGTTAGAATGAGAAGCGATGAGGAGGTAGGAGAGAAAGGAGGATGGGCGAAAGAGGAGAAAATGCGAGCATATATACACATTTATTTCGCGAATAAATTGTAATTATATATATATGCGCATATATTATATATACATAATTATATACATATATATATATATACACACATCTTGTAATTATACATTAATATAGAGAGAGCGAGAGGGAGGGAGAGAGAGAGAGAGAAAGAGAAAGAGAGAAAGAAAGACCTTCAGGAGGAATTTGTACAAATCCGCTGGGATAAATCACCAGCAAGTCTGTGATTTTAGCTTGGTTACTAATTCAGTATTTTTTTAAATAAAACGAGACAAAATCAAGATAAATCATAAAAAAAGAAACATGATTCGGCCCGCGAGAGAGGGAGGGTTCGCGAGAGAAGGGAGGAGAAAGTTTATGAAAGAGAGAGCGTATGTGGTCAGACTGAATGAGTGAGGTAGAATGTGTTGAAGTAAAAGAGTGAGAGATAGGCAGGGGAAGAGGAATCTTAGAATTAGAAGTTTACAATGAAATTATTTGAAATGCCCTGGAAATAATTTCTCCAAGCAATTTCGCGATTTTTTTGACTTGTTTTACGTAAAAACATGATGAATAGCTCTTACTTACTTTACGATCGTTTTGCTTTTGTTTAAGAAAACGTGCAATCATTGAAATTATAATTACTGAAATCGCAATGATGTCATATTAATGTTGCGACGTGCTCGAACGAATGAAAAAAGTGTGATGTACTTTACGTTTAAAACATCGCGAGAAAGAAGACAGGAATCACTTCTTTATCTCTTAGGGAGTCAATCGTCACGTCAATACGAGTCTTACTAGCGTCAGTTAGTATTAATCGTAATTAAACATTTTTTTCATCTTTATTATTATACCCAGTGATGCAGTATATAAGAGAAGACAATGGAGGATCGGTTAAATCACGATCTGAGCCGAGATTACCGTTGGTAAAACCAGCTCATTTTCATCATTATAAAATTATCCTGATTATATCGTGTCAGCTCTGAATTTGCTTTGTGGGAATCTATTTAAATTGCAATGAATCATTAATAATGTATTTCTGGGTAATTCAAAGTCCGTCTCGAAGAGCAAATGTGCGAAATACCATTCTTCTAGAATCGTCGGCACGCTGTTACATTATTGAATTTTGAGCTTCGACTCTTTAGATTTTTCTTCCTCTTTGGCCACGCGTAGGAAAGAATCGCGAATGACGAAAGAAACGGAACTTTAGGGCCGGCTCTTTGTCGAGTGCTTTCCTTTTCTTTGGAGAAGTCATTTTTTTTTCATTTACGCGGACACTAGATATGAGAGAAAGAGGGATGGAGCAAAAAGAGGAAAACGGATTCTCGGTGAAGTAAAATTGTGACAGGGATTGGTATCGAAAGAAGCAAGAAAATGATAAGTATGAAGAACAGAGGGGAAGAGAGAATGAATGCATGAGTGAACGAGTGAGTGAGTGGAAGAGAAAAAGGGGGAGAGAGAGAGAGAGAGAGAGAGCATGAGGGGCTTAGCAGGGATGCTGAATTCGATGGTAGGGCCACGATAACACGATTGTGATGAAAGATTACTTACCGATTACACACTGATTAGTAGCGAACTCTTAGCAGTTTCGTATAGCATATTCATTTAGCGTTGTAGGGAGAGAGTAAAGTAACAACTACTTTTTTTGTGGCCCTGCGAGATCCGAATTCGACGGCCCCGTTCAGCTAATGCATCGTTTGGAGAAAACGAAAGGGGAGCGCGAATAAAAAGATCCATTCGTTTCTGCGCGTTGACTGCGAGCGAGACGCCACTCAATGAATTCTGTATAAAATTCGCTTTACAAGTCTACATGCATGTCCATGAGTATACACACACTCACACAACACACATACATACTCGATACGAACACAGATCGCGAATACTCGAGATGAATACATGATACTTACATACGCGATACATTACACACATACTCGAATCTGTAGACTCGTAGGTTTACTATTAATTATAATGAATTATAATTATATCTATTATATCAATGTATAATTATATTTAGTTTTTAGGTTTATGATTATATTGGCTAATTATTTCCCGCTTGTACATACGCCGTGAAGCTCCAGAGAAAAAATTAAATCTTTAACAAAGAAAATCTATAATTTTTTCGACTGTTTTTGTACAGAGATAATAAAAACAAAAGGCCTCGTGCTTATGAAATTTCATGAATATAAAAAAAAAACACGTGTATCGTTTAATCTCGTCGTCCATTATCCCAATCACCTTAACAAGCGTATACTGTTTCATGCTATTTGCAATATAAGGTAGAAATATAAGATTTCTCATGAAGCATCAGCATAATCGGCCGTAAACATCGTTAAGATTCAACATTTTCGAGACGACTTGGAATATAAATCAATTTTTACGTTTCAAAATTTACTTCACATTATTGACAGACTGTGCAATAAGCTCTACAAATATGCGAATATTTAACCTCTCGAGAGGTACTAGTACATATACTAGTATACGTTTAGTTTGACTGTTTAGCAAAGTATAGGATGGTACTATTTGGGATTGAAATATTCCATAGGGGAAAGAGTAAAAATAAAAAATATTAAATAGCAAATATTTCCTAATGTCAAATAAATACATTTGAAACATCAAATAAAATAATTTTTTCTGACCTTCAAAAATTCGTCCCTCAAGAGGTTAAATGTAATGAAGTAACGTCAGCAACGAGAGATTACGGCCTTGAATTATTATTTAAGACATTAGCGCGTCGTTGCCTGGTGTTTTGTCAAACCAATTTCGTAAAAACGCCAATTCGGCGAGTGAAATTGTTTACTTGGCAGATGAGAGGTTGAA